GGCTTTCAAGACTTCTATCATCTAAATAAGACATTTAAAGACTTCTACCGTCTGAAAAAGGCTTTAAAATGCCTAAATAAATAAAAGCGATAACAAATTTAAAAGTTTCTATCGCTTAAAAAACGCCTTTAAAAGCTTCAATCGTATAAAAAATGTATTTTAAGGCCTTTAAAGGTTTCTGTCGTCTAAAAACAGGACTTTAAAGGCTTCTATCGTCCTAAAAAACATTCAAAGGCTTTTATTAACTAAAAATGGCCTTCAAAGGTTTCTATAGCCTGTATACATACTTGCACTATTTTTCAAATTAAATTAAAAAAACGTTGAATTTTTCCGCATACTATTTCAAGCACAAATAAAATTAACAACAAAATTAATTAAATTAAAAACAAAATTAACAACAATTATAATGGTATAATTATATCTCTACAGTAGTATTCAAAATTTGAATACTAGAATTTAATTAGTTTGTTCTGTACTCAAAACTTTTTAGAATTTAATAGAAGATTTTTGCAGGACCTGAAATATATCAAATATGTAACTTTTTATTCAATACTCATTAAGAAATAAATTAATATTTTAGATTCTACATTCGAAAATATTTCCATCATTGCATAAAAATTTGAAGCAAAAAGCAACCAGGTCAAAGAAATCAATTTTTGCACAGTAGGAGAAAAATCGTAAAGGAAACACAGCTTTTATTTCGAATTTGAATACCACAGAAACAGATTCAAAAATTGGAAAAAAATATTGCAATTTTTTGAAAAAGGCTCAATTATTGAAAGGTATGCAATGACCCTCTTCATAAATTGTAATAGCACTGAATAATCTGGTAACACCTTATTATCGCATGTTGTCATTCAACATAGTAATTCTTTATGGATTAATTTAAATATTTCTTCAGGTTAATACAATAAATTCATGGAACCAGACCAGTTTTATATTTGAAATCTCTATATAGTCTTTCTTCCTCTGAAATAATAATGACTATATTATGTCTACGACATTAAAATATTATAAAATAAACAAGTCTATGAGAGTAACTGAAAACGCACCATATGAAATTACCAAAAAAATTGAAACCGGTAGTTCTAATACATCAGTAGCATTGGTCTACGAAATTAATACAATTAAAACAGTGATCTCTTTTTGTGGCATCTATCCTCCCTTACATTTCATCTTACATTAACTTTCAGACCATTTAAAAAGGTCTCTGTAATGAATACAGTGTAATCTTTTAAGGCTCTCCTGAAATAAAATATAAATATAGCACTTTCTCTCTCTCTCTAGGTTAAGTCGAAGCTCTAACCTCTCATTGAGACATGCCAAATTTACTACAAATTTGTATTGCCTGTACAAAATGCACTCTCTTCTAAATATATTCTCTAAAACAGAACAAGCAAGGAGTCGCTCTTGTGCGCTGTTTTATACACCATTTACTCTCAAAGAGAGCACGAGTGCGGTAGTATGCCCGATGCAGCTTTAGAATGCATAGCTGTGATGTATGAAGAGGTTGAGTGGACATAAATTCAACTTTCGTTTTGTAATAATTGAGCCAAGATTGGCAACATCGAATCTCGTTAACTGAAACGGCCTCCATTAAGGCTTCTTTAATATGAAATTGTCTACATCTGAGCTTAAATCACGGATGTCCACGTATTCTCTTTTTTCTATCAACACGACAGACGAAAATAGAAACCATCGACGCTAACGTACTGGTTTGGGCATAATTGGGCATATCAGAGAATATTGTGTGGACTATTCTGAGAAACATCGATATTATAAAATGCGACAATTCATCTATAAGTAGAATTAGAATTCCGGGAATGTGAGACATATGAAATTATCAAACTTGAGGTTGCAACACTTGTCTCTTAAAATTTCGAAAATCTGCTCTACAAAATATCTTATAATAAAAAGCTTTTTTATCGTAGTTTCTTTAATTAAATATATTTTATATTAAATAGAGCATTGACATACACCATATATCTAATGCAGTAATAGTAAAAACCCACACTTTAATATGAATATATATATTTTTTAAATTTTAAAAATATATAATTTTATTCTATTGTTCTTTCACTCGAAACAATACAATAACGCTACGTATGTCTCAACTACAGAGACATAATATTAAACAAAAAAACACAACAACAATTTTAAATATTTCATAGCTTCATCATGTGACAAGGTCCTTTTGAAATTCTAACGAAAACATTTTTTTTCTAAAATCATTTTTTCTTAAGTAAAAACATCCATCAGCAGAGACAATGAAATGAAATAATGTACATACTTATGTTATATATATATAAATATGTTAATATAAGCAACTATATTTTGATTTATTATATAGCAGTGCGTAAATGCACAGAGTAACAAAAAAAAAACAAAAATATGTTTCTAGCGGTGGGGGGAAAACAAATAATCTCTTGAACACCCCCATATATGTCTGTGTACATATATACATATGTAGTGCATGTGCGGAACCTCAGTGCTTCAATACAGCTATTGTTGTGTGATTTATTCCGTTTTTTTGCTTTGCTTTGTATTTTCAAAATCGTTGCCAAATATTTTGAGATTAAGTAATTGAAAGCAAACAACAACTGATGTTTGCTGTGTGTACGCTGATGTACTGATTCTTTTGGGCTAAACAACAAAAACAAATTCACATTTTTGAAATGTTATGCAAATTTCATGTACATAGTAGCATAATATATGAATGATGAAGAGTATAGATATATTATTTTAGCAAATATTTTAGATAATAATATTAAGTAATTTTTAGCAAAACAAAAAAAATCAGAGGAAAACTACACCTTGAAAAAACATATTTACCTGTAAAGTATGTTTAGATGTATTTAAAAAAAAGTAATTTAATATCACTACCCAACAAAGTAACTAAATTTATCCCCGACGATGACTATGACAAACTGCTGGCCATTGTTTTTTTTTCTCAAATGATTAAGAATAAATGCATTTTATTTATATGTTTTTAAATTTTAAATTTATATCAAAGAGATTCTTAAATTTGTTTAGCCGAAGGCTAAACCATCATCTCATCACCCGTGTAAATTAGTCATTCATCCTAGTGGTGACAATGTAACAAACATAGTTTTTTTACACAATAAACTCAAGAATGCATGAATCGATGAGTCATGATGATGAACTAAATCAATTTGTCAAAATCATTTTCGAAATGTAACACCAACAACTACAACAACTGCAAAAAAAGAGCAGGCGAACTATTTAAAGATGTGATGCCATCATCATCTCGACAAAGAGGTTCGATCAATACGATGTAGTAATTTGTCAGCACCTTAAGTATTTGTGTTGTTTGTGACAAGTTCAGGTCATGTCAACGTTGTTACCGATCAAACATGAATGACATGCGAGACAATTGAAACGAGGTTAATATTAGTTAGTCATTTTATGAATAATTTATTTTCAAATTCAGAGAGGTCTTTAGGAAAAGAAAATAATTTTGAAGTATGCAGAAATTAAAAAAGTGTTTTTTTGGTTTATTTTATTTAACAAAAACAAACAATTATAGGAAAAAGGAAACAAATTGAACATATATATATAAAAAAATTAATTAATATAACTTAAAAAATAAATAAATATCTATATATATATATATATATATAACTATATATTAATATATCTATAAATTAAATAATAAATAAAAAAATCATAGTAATTTTAAAAAAGTTTATAATCTTTAGTAATTTACTTTTTTATATAATAACGATTTGAATTATTTTTTCTCAGAATTTTTGATTTTTTAAAAAAACCCAAAAGGAATTTAAAAATCTTAACATTCGAATATTTTCAATTCGAAAAAAATTAATTTTAATTTTAATATAATTTTTAATAAAAAAATAAATGCAACAGTTTTAAAAATATTTATTACTATTGATTTTTTTCATTATTATTTAATTATTTTTATTATTTATTTAATAAAAATAATAATAATAATATACAAAAATATTAGAAAAATATAGAATTTTCCAAGATCCATAAAATATACATTATTATTGTAATAATTCTAATTTTTTATACAAGTTTCTTTTTCTGAAAAATTAAAAAATAAATACAAATATTACAAAATATTTATTATTAGCTATTATATTTTTTATTATTTTTTTAATAAATATAGACATATTTCTTGCTTGGAATTTTTAATTTTTTATAACGAATATTTTGGTCGCAAAGGGATATAAAAATTTAATAATTTCGAATGTTTATTATTTTTTATTTTTTTTATTATTTATTTGATTTTATTATTATTTATTTATTTTTATTTAATTAATATTAATTTATTTAATTGTTATAATTATAAATATAGCGATATAACATAATTAGTACATTGTTAAAAATATAGGAAAAAATATAATATATTTCGAGATCAATGAAATAGACATTATTATTATTCCCTATTTGTATACAGAAACTAAAAAATATATATTTTTATTTGTTTTTTTTATTAATTATTTACTTTTATTTTATAAATCTAGATATATTTCATGCCTTGAATTTTTTTTTTTTTAAAGAATGTGTTTGTCGTAAAGGCATATAAAAATTTAGTACATTCCAATTTTAAAAAAATATATATTCAGGATTTTTTGAGATCCCTAAAATAGTCATTGGCTTGATAAAAGATTTCTGTGTTAATAATCTGTATATACTACACACATAAATACCGACAATTATATACACATATTAGTAAAAAAAAGGTTAAATTTTTATTAATTAATTTTTAACGGAATTTTTGTAAATACGTTCGGAAAACATTTTGAAAGTATAAAATCATAAAAAACCATTTACATTTTATACAGATGTCATAGAAGCTTATTTTTTGTATGTAAATCCCTAAGAGGTAAACGACAAAGGAACAAATCAATTTCTTATAAATGTTTGCATCACTTTAATTCCAAAAATTATCATAATCCGCAACTAACCTCAATTTGTTTGTTTGTTTCCTGTTCCTCACCCACCCATTTTAGCAAACAAACTTCCATTGAAATTGAACAATTGAATGCTCGCGTTGTCGAAGCCGAAACCCGTTTGAAGACCGAAGTCCAACGCATCAAGAAGAAGTTGCAAATCCAAATCACCGAATTGGAAATGTCCTTGGATGTTGCCAACAAGACCAACATCGACTTGCAAAAGGTTATCAAGAAACAATCTTTGCAATTGACCGAAATCCAAGCCCACTACGAAGATGTTCAACGCCAATTGCAATCGACCTTGGACTCGTATGCCGTTGCCCAACGTCGTTTGGCCGCCATGAACGGTGAATTGGACGAAGTCCGTTCGCAATTGGATAGCGCTCAACGTGCCAAGCGTACCGTTGAATTGCAATTCGAGGAGGCCAATACCCGTATCAATGAATTGCACGTTGCCAATGTCAACTTGGTATCGACCAAATCGAAATTGGAACAAGAATTGAGCGTTATCTCATCGGACTATGAAGAAGTTAGCAAGGAATTGCGCATCAGTGACGAACGTTACCAGAAGGTTCAAGTATGTGTTGAGAGGTGCAGATTTTTAAACGAATGGATAAATTAATTTATTTATTTTCTGTTTTTCTTAAGGTTGAACTTAAGCACAGCATTGAACAAATCCATGTTGAACAAGAGCGTATTCTTAAATTGGAAACCATCAAGAAGTCCTTGGAAGTTGAAGTAAAGGTAGGTATCTCAACACAAAATTAAAAAAACGTACGCAGATAATTCAAAGCATCAAGTGTGTATGGTTAAAAAATGTATGGTTTTAAAAAGTGTGGTTTCTACATAGAAATATTTTTTTGGAGAAAAATATGTAAAAATCCTTGGGAATAACAAAAATCGGCATAGACAATTGTCCGGTCCAAAATAGTACGGAGGACTATATCGATATATATATATAATTTTTTAATTTCTTGACTAATAGCATATAAATCCTAACAATTGGGAAAAGGATGATATTTCATGTGGGACCTGCAAGTATCAAAATACCCTTACCACACCCTGGAACTTTATAATGTATGGGCTCTATATTCTAAATTTGTTTCAATGAATTCCTCATATTTCCCATATTTTCAATTTGTTTCAATGAATTTTTATACCTACTGGAATCTGAATATATCATTCCCAATTTTTACAAAGGATTACATAGGACGAAAATATCGAAAACAAAATCAAGGAACAACTCTACATTATTAGGAGTCTCTCATAGAGAGATCAGGACAACGGAAATATTTTAAATATAGTTGAAATGTTTACGCTAATGACGTTAAAACTTATAGGCCAGGAGGCAATGCCCTACGGAAACCCTAAAGTCCTCATTTCTGTTTGAAAAAACCGCCAACAAATATCTCCATATCGGAATATATTGACCTTTGATTTGTCCCAATTTTTATGATTCTCTGTGATTATGTACAGGCTATTTTTATGTCGTCTCATTCACTAATAATTTTAATTTATTTTTTCTCTCTTTACAGAACTTGTCCGTTCGCTTGGAAGAAGTTGAATTGAACGCCGTTGCCGGTAGCAAGCGCATCATCAGCAAATTGGAAGCCCGTGTACGCGATTTGGAATTGGAATTGGAAGAAGAAAAGAGAAGACACGCCGAAACCATCAAGATCTTGAGAAAGAAGGAACGCACCGTCAAGGAAGTCATGGTACAATGCGAAGAAGATCAAAAGAACATTATGTTGTTGCAAGAAGCCTTGGACAAGTCCAATGCTAAATTGCAAATGTTCAAGCGTCAAATGGTTGAACAAGTGAGTATTGATTTAATTTTAAAAATAAATTAAAGAATTATTTTCTAAAAATTCCTGTCGCTTTTTTCCTTAAACAGGAGGGTGTTTCTCAACAAACCATTACCCGCGTACGCCGTTTCCAACGTGAATTGGAAGCCGCCGAAGATCGTGCCGAAAATGCCGAAACCAATTTGAACATGATCCGTGCCAAGCACCGCACCTTTGTCACCACCTCCACTGTTCCCGGTTCCCAGGTCTACATCCAAGAAACCACAAGAACGATCACCGAATAAATTAAATTATTCATAATATCTAAGCCAACCAACCAACCAAAGAAAGCAAGCTTCAAAAATTATCACACACACACACTATCAAAAACAAAGAAAATAACCTCAAGATAGAAAACAAAACATCACTTTATCAAGTTTTTATATAGAAATTCTGATGATGAACAACAGAAAACCCTACCCCTAAGATAAAGAAAACAAAAAACTTCACATCACAACACCATCATTCGAAGTTTTTTTTTTCAAATCACATGTTTCGAATAAATGTATTTTAATTTAATTAATTTCGCAAAAAAAGAACAACAAAAAGAAGAATGAACAACAAATAAAATTTTTAAATTTAAGAAAAACCCCAAAAATGAAATCATCTGAAAAACACCAAAAATACGTTTTTTTGTTTTGTTTTGTTGTAGTACACACTTATTTCTTGTATTTAGTTTAGAAGTTGTCGCCCATTCCTTTCGAAGGACAGGGACACTAACGTTGCCAACACCGCCAACATTTCAAAGTATTTTAAGGATGTTTTTATTATTTTATTTCGTTTCTTTACGTTCTGGAATCCAAGTATCCACAACACAATGGGACAGTGCGCAGCAAAATGCATTCAACAGCCAACAACAATATTTCGTATAGATTTTTTTTTAAAATATTTTTTAAGTATTTCATTTAAACCCAATAATCACACCATGGGTTTAAAAAAATGGGAATTCATTAATTTTTTTGGATAAAATTGATTTTTTTGTATTTTTTCTCTCTTTTTAATATAATAAATTTTAATATAAAACCAAAAAATATATAAATAAAAAAAACTAAAACCAAAAACAAAAACATCAAAATGAAAACTTTCTTTTATTAGGATTGTTTTCACGAAGAGCCCTTATCATCATGATACGTCTTTAGATCTGAGCAATAAACAATTAAAACCCAAAACTTTTGTCTCAGATCCAATCATAATCATAATGCATATCATATCATTTATCACTAATTATTAATATTAGCAATTATTAATTAATTTAATTAACCACACAACATTATTATCATCATCGTCATGATCGACAAACAAAAAAAAAGAGAATTGAAATATTTGTTTGTTTAATTATTTATATATTTTCTTGTTAGTAATATTTTGTTTTATTTTTTCCTTGCTCTTAGCTCATAAATAAATATCATCTATTTTATTGAAGCGTATTAATTATAATCATATAAAAAACAACATACACACACATATAAAAATTGCAATTTTTATTAATTTATATAAAAAAAAACCAAAAACAAATAATAAATCATTATCATGTAACATATAACAATGTAAAATCTCATCTCATTTCTTTTTAAATATGCTGACTTGCTGGATCATACAGCTTTAGCTTTTGTTGGTCAGGGACGTTGAGGTAAAACCCTAATTTAATTTTTGACGTTAAACCCTGATACAAAACGTTAGGTTGGTATATGAATGTGGCTAGTTATTGTTTTTTGAAGTCTGAAAGCCTAACGTGCGCTAAGTTTCATTGAAATCGGTCCAGATTTAGATATAGCTCCCATATATTAGGTTGGGGAAAAATAAATCCATTATTTTTATATGAACATGCTTCGAAATGACCGATTTGGGCCAAATATGGACAGTTTTATTGTACGATTTGTTGCCATTTTAAAGATAACTTTATAATGCCTCCCTCATAGAAGTCTATCGATTTTCAATCCTCCCTAGATACCTATTTTTATACCCTACACAACTATGTTGTCAGGGTATTATAGCTTTGTGCAGCCCCAAAAGTTTGTAACGCCGCGAAATATTGGTCCTAGACCCACCTTTAAGTATAGCGATTGTCATATCTCGACTAGCTGAGTCGATCTAGACATGTGTGTCCGTCCGTCCGTCCGTCTGTCCATTATATTTTGTAAACACGATACAGGCCACAGTTATTAACCAATCTTCACGAAATGTTGCATGTAGGATGGGTTCGGCCTAATGAAGACCCCTATTGTTTTTGGTAAATATCGGATAATATTTAGGGGATGAAATGGCACAAATATTAATTTTGTGATTTTTTGTAACAGGCAAAAATTATGGCCCAAACATCTTGAATTTTTACATAGGGAAGGGGATTGACTTTCGGATAAGCATACCTGTTTTGATAAAGATCCGTCAAAATTTAGTGGGTAAAATTGACCCTGATTTTTTTGTAAAAAAATGACAAAATTTGTATTCTATGGCGTATATATTATCCGAAGGACATAGAATTTGGAAGTGGATTATAAATCAAATTGGTTCAGATTTAGATATAGCTCCAATATTTATTTTCATCCGATTTTTAGAAAATTAATCTCCAGAGAGTCAAATTTAGGCCGATTGACATGAAATTTTGCACAACGTACTGAAATTAGGAAAGCCTAACGTGCGCCAAGTTTTATTGAAATCGATTCAGATTTAGATATAGCTCCCATATATTAGGTTGGGGAAAAATAAATCCATTATTTTTATATGAACATGCTTCGAAATGTCCGATTTGGGCCAAATATGGACCGTTTTATTGTACGATTTGTTGCCATTTTAATGCCTCCCTCATAGAAGTCTATCGATTTTCAATCCTCCCTAGATATCTATTTTCTATCATTAAAGAAATTTTGCAATGCAACTTAAAACTTTCCAACCAAGCTCCCGAAGTGTGGCCTAGCGTTGTCTTAGTGGCCAATTGGCCAACTGGCCAATTCTGGCCGTTTCTGGTCAACTGCTATCTTCAAACGGTCCAGTTGTTGACAGTATAGATCAGAACTTAGCATTTGGCCATATAAAAGCAACTAATAATAAATAATCCCCTTCCAGTCCCACCAAATGCATAGCAGAACCTTCTTGGCCGTTAGTCCTGGTTTGGCCACCGTTTGAGATCCTTCTTCGATTTTATCGATATTTTCGATAATCTATTTTCGGCACAAATTTGACTATTTTATGGGGGAGGTACCAGAAGGGGTGGTCCGATTCCACCCATTCTCGAACTTCACTTGAGTTTGAAAAAAATGTTACGTTGTATTGGAAATTATAAATATTGAAAATTTTTACCCCTGGACCTTTGAACTATGTTTGGAAGAAGTGTTACGATTTTCAAAGTTTGAATGAAATTACTCCCTTCGAAAGTTAGCGGCCGCACCAACCGGCCAGACAGACAGACGGACATTTGTAAATCGATTCCAAATTGTCTGAAACTAATTTGGTTCCAAGAAAAATTTTTTGTCGTATCAAAGTGTATACACCCTAATCTACCTGCCAAGGAGAAGCACACAGTGGAGGACGAACAATGGTCGTGCTACTCAACCGACGACGGCAGCTATGTAAGCAACAACGAGCAGCAGAAAGTGAGCCACAAGGTGAAAAGTAATACCTGCGGATGCGAGAAGGTTGGTGAATACGGTCAAGACCCTGAACCCTGAATCAAGGTTGCGTCATTGTATGAGAGCAATGCGAGCCTTATGGCGCAGTTGAGGTCGACCATCTATGGCGATTCCGACCTCGACTTATTGATGAATATCCTAGGGACGGACGGTTCCTCCCTAAAGTCCAGTCATCATCGACTGCAGTGATGGCAGCATCGAAGCCTGCTTTTTTCGCAGAAGGAAAAGACTGAGGTAGATGCCTAGTCCGACGTCGGTGGACATGCATCTGGCCATGCGAAATGTAGTAGAGTGGACAGCTCGGCAGTGCCGCCCATCACTAGTCTCCCGTAGTCTCCCTTACTCACGACATTGGAGTAAGGGAGACTACGGCGATTCTGATGTCTGTGTGCGGAATACTCCGGGGAAGAGTTCAGCGGCTCGGCATTCCGGTTCATATTTGGAGTATTGTCAACATCGCTTCGGATAAGTTCCGCGTCTATTCAACAGCGATTAAAGGTGAAGAAGGATATGCGTCGTGCCGTGACCCAGTGCTACAACTGGCAGCGCTTTTGTCAAATTGCTGCCAACTGCGGAATGCCTCCGCAATGTGTGTGCCATCCTGTAGCAGATTTTTGAGAATTAACCCAAGAGTAGGGCAGCTCTGGAATATTACTTTGCAAAGAACGGTTTAACTCTGTATTCTCCTCTTTCGTTTATTACCGCCCGTCAGTATAACAATCCCAAAACGAGCAGTTATAACATTCGAGAGCCAACATCTTTATTTTTAATTGCTCTTTGCTATAAACGTATGTCATGATCTCCTCTTTTGTGATCCCCTTATTATAACAATTAGAGAATGAACTATTATAATGCCGCGGTAGCCCGATATGGTGCAGTCTCCACTTTACTCAATGTAGTGAGAAAAGTTTTTGGTATATGCAAGAATACCGCTTCACATATATTGTTTCCAAAAAAAGCTAAACTAAACTATTTGAAACAATAATTAGCTTCTGTCTGTTGGGCAATGCTGAAAATTAAAAAAAAAAAAACCGATCGCTCTCTTCTATTCAGACCGTCGACAACACCAGTTATTCGATTCTCTAAAGAAATCTGGATTTATCACAAGTAACAAAAGACTTTACATACAATTAAGAAAATCAAATAGATCTGATAAACTTAAAAAAATTGATAATAAAATTAAGTTATCAAATGAGAAGTGATAAAGATAATTACCGTAAATTAAAAAAGGGAAATCTGGAATTGGAAAACCGAGAGAGCTGGAAAACTAAGAAAATTTTCCTAGTGATTGAAAAAAACAAACCGGTTGGACCTGACAATTTTCCAGTTTGAAGACATAAATTTTTCCTGCCTTTTCCTGAATTCAACGTACTTACAAAAATCCACTTGATTTTTTTAAATTTGCTGGCAAATATATCGTGCTAAAAAAAGGTAGAAAATGTGATGGAAAGGTACAGTTTAACGGTGATAATCTGATTGATAACGCAAAATATGTCTCCGCCAAAAATATTAAATAAAAAAAATTGTTTATAAAAAGACAGCTAAATTTTAAACATTTTCAAAAATTTTAAGATATAACCATTCTGATCATAATTAAATTATTGGATAATTTCTTTCGAAATTT